ATATATATATATATATATATGGGTGATCACATGTGGTCATGTTGTTAGGTGTGGTCATATGGTCAATTATAGGCCATTAGATTAGATAGATCCAATGAATCATATTAATCAAGATTTTTTCAATATTTTCGCGCACATTCTCCTACCCAGCAAACTGCAAGGGTAAACTCGTAATAAAACACCGGAATAGAGAAAATCACATTATTATGTGTTTTATTACACTATTGGTGCATGTTGTCAACACTGTTAGTGTATTCTGGAACCCGGCCGCTATAAATGGCCACTGTAATTACCATAACACGGGAATACACCATTGGTGTGTTTCACTGTGGCGTGTTTTATTACACTATTGGTGTATGTTGTCAAATCTGTTGGTGTATTCTGGAACCCGCCCGCTATAAAATGGCCATTGTAATTACCATAACACCCCCACTTACCAAAACGTGCGAAAATCCTCAGAATTACCACTGCCGTTAGATTAAACTGATTCAACGACACAGATACGACCACACGACCACACCTAATGACATGACCACATATGAGCGCTCTTATATATATATATATATATATATATATATATATATATATATATATATATATATATATATATATATATATATATATATATATAATCAGGGAAGGGAAAACATATTTCTTTTTTATGTAAACCACAATGTGGTCCGGGTCTTTCTCTGTCCGTTTAACAGTTCAGGTCCACCCGGTTCACTCCGAGAGGCACAGAAGCTGGCCCAGAAGAAAAAACATATTTAAACTAATTAAACAAAATTATAATAGTTTAAAACTCAACCAAAAAAAAAAAAAACAAAACAAAACAAAAACAAAAACAAAACAAAAAACAAAAATAAAAACAAAACAAAATAGTCTAGCAAATGTTTAAAAAACTTAGCACTAATTTTAGAAAAGTTAAATTTCAAGTAAAAATATAAGTAACGAACAGATTTTTAAAATCTCTAATCTCAACTTTCAAGAATTCATCATCGTCATTATTCAAAATCTTATTTGCTTCAAAGAGACTAGCATGATATGATCTAACTTTGATCTCATGAATAAGTAACAATCAAAATAATACACTATTTGGACTTAGGAGTATGCCATGACCACATCAAACATGGCCATTAAACAAATAAGGTGCCAAATAAATTTTTCAAGCCAATACAAGCAATCATCATTTTTTTTTAAAAGCACAACGCAAAAGTAAAGGCACCAATAGTTGAAGAATTAGATCCACCACATAATAATCAAAGAACCAAAAACATCATTTTTTTTTTTCATATTTTATATTTATTAATAACACTTTGCTTTTAATTTAACTAGTATTTTTTCGGTGCATGTTATAAAAATATACCCTATATGAGATTTATTCATATATAAAAATTTTATTATTTAATAATTATGTGTGAATTGCTATAATAAAATTATGAACATATATAAATATATTTACAATTAAAATAAGAATTGATATTTAAGGTGGGTGATTACTACAAATCTTAAACTATATTAAAAATTTAGTACATAGTATTTAATATTACAAATTTTTAAGGACTTAGTAAACTACAATAGTACTCTAGAAATCTCATAAGTCTAAAAATTTTGATCCGCGGTGACTCTGAAAATTGTAATTCAATTACTGTTGTAGTTTACTAAGTTTTTAAAAATTTGTAATATTAAAAACTATGTACTAAAGTTATAAGATTGGTCTCATTAGAATAATCTCAATTGAAGTTTATTTATGAGTTTTTGGATGGATTGGATGATGCAAGAGATATGAAAATGAATTAAGGTTAATTTGAATTTTTATGCACCATGTAATAAGTAAATCTTAATTATTATATAACCATATAGTTTATTAACTATAATATAACCATATGGTTTGATAAGCAATTATTGTTACAATAATTGCTCACCAAACCATATAGCTATATTATAGTTAAGATGATTAAGGAAACTACACATTTCATATTTATCTATTGTTGAGCAAATAGTGGAATGTGGATTTTGTCTAAAATCGATTATAAAAGAAATGATTAAAGTTCTTTTTTGACTAGTTGACGGTTAAAATATCTTATCAAAATCAAACCAATCAATTTCAATTGATTATGTAAATTTTAAAGAAAAATAAAAGAAAAACTAAGGGATCCATTATGAATGGAGTAGTCCATTTATCCATTGATGTTACTTAATTTGCATCTTATTTGTGCCCAATCGACATCATCATCCATGGTTAATACTTTGCATGATTAAAATGCCATTCTCTTTATGTAGGAATTTTTATTAAAAAATAAAATAAAAATCCTCAAAAAATAATTTGTATGAAGATTAAGAAAAATAAATTTTTTGAATTTATATTATGGTTCAATGATTTTTCAAAAGGGGTTAAGTCAAGGCCAATATCAGACGCAATTTCCTTAAACCAATTCGTACGTTTTCTTCTAAGAGTGTTTGGAACATTGAAAATTTGAAATGCCATTTCCCCAAGATACAATTGTTTACTAGAACAAAGTATGGACACAAAATTTGGAGGACAGTTGGTAGTAGGTTTTCTATTAATTTTTAGAGCAATATATATAAGAGTGAAAAGTATAGGTAATTTCAATTTTTTCAAGTGTTTCAGAACATTATGCCAACACACTATTTATAGAGTCCCTACATACTAGGGTCTCCACTTATGTGGTGAGAGACTTTAATTGTTTGGTTAGTGTAGGCATGATCACGGTTCGGTTCGAACCGGAACCAATATGATTCCAGTTAAGGTTCGAGATGAAATGGAACCAAAATTGTCCGTTTCGGTTCTAAATCATAAAAAATTAAAAATATATAACTTTTTTTAATAAATCCGGTTAGAACCAACGGTTCCAACCGGAATCGCCAGTTCTGAACCGAAACCGAAACCTTACTATAAGGTTTCGGTTCTGGTTTGGCCATTTGCAGAACCGAAATCGAAACCGCGGTCACTCTTAGCTTAGTGTGAATATAAGAATATAGGTGGGCTTTTGTACCTTCATCATCATCCCTCCAAATTTGAAATATTAAGTTAATCAGTAAAACAAACATCAATTAATTATCAAAAAATTTGTTGTCTCGATCAATACTGATACCAATCAAAATCGTAAAATTATGCATGTACTTCATACTTGATTACACAAAGTATCATTAAAAATTATTATCAATAATACTTAACACAATTATGTATGATATATATAAGAGTTCTACTTCATTATGTGAGTTCTCAAGAAAAATGTCAAAATATCAAAATTTTGAGTGAAAGAATAAAAGTTGGGAGTAGAACTTAAAAGTTATCATTATCCCAGCAATACTCTCTCACTTTAAAAATGGTTCCACTTTCTCTCTCTCTCTCTCTCTCTCTCTATATATATATATATATATATATATATATATATATATATATATATATATATAATGATGACATGGATTGCAAGCTTGCAACCCGATTTCATCTGTACAAAAAGCTTCCAGTATGGCAGCCTTTGTACTTTTATATTATAATTTGATGTGAATGTGAGACAACTTTTGAAAGTAATTAAGAATGTATTTCTGAGATAATTCAGCTTTATAAAATTTGCAAAGGACATAAAAAGTTACTAAATGACAGCATTTGGCAACTTTCCTGTACTTTTTTTAAAAACTTATATATATATATATATATATATATATATATATATATATATATATATATATAAAATAAAAAATAAAAAACCTTTTCAAAGTGCCAGGTCAACTTGCAAAGGAAGAAATTGCAAGAATAATTCTAGCCTAAAAAAGAAAACTTGTATGACATGTAAGCAACAAAAATAAATAAATTATTTTACGCAAAAGCATGTCGTGTCACTTTGAAGCACTAAAATTATAGAGATAAGGTTAGCCTTAGAGCAACATTATTAGCAAATATTTTGGAGAGAATGTCAGAAGGATTAGCTTTGGTTCAAAATAATGGTTGATGTGGAGAAGATTTAATTCAAGTAGAATTGGCCTCCAAGATGTGGGGAGCATGTCATATTTATTATTATTATTATTATTATTATTATTTTAAAAAGGAATAAGGGTCAAATAGGTCATCGAACTACACACAATAATGCAATTAGGCCACTGAACCTAAAAAATCAACAATTGGGTCCCTAAACTAACCAATTTCAAACAATTCTTCCAATTTGAAGGTTTCCAACAAGTTAACAGGTCATTCTCCCAAATTAATTATTTTTAAAAAAATTAAAAATTAATTATTTAAATTATTTTTAAAAAAAAAAAAAAAAAAACCAGGACTCCGACCTTTCTTCGTCTCCGGCGGGAGTCCTTTTTTTTTTTTTTTTTTTTTAATTTAAATAATTAATTTTTAAAATTTATTTTTTTAAAAATAATTAATTTGGGAGGATGACCTGTTGGAAACCTGTAAATTGGAAGAATTGTTTAAAATTGGTTAGTTTAGGGATCCAATTGTTGATTTTTTAGGTTCAGTGGCCTAATTGCATTACTGTGTGCAGTTCAATGACCTATTTGACCCTTATTCCTTTTAAAAAAGGAAGGAAGGGAGGTGCGCGTTTGACAGCGGGAACACGCGCCCGCCAGCTGGTGGCCACTCTGACTTTATAAATTTTTTACTGTTTTTTTTTAAATGTCAATTTTTTTTTTTTAATTTTCAATCACATTTTTTTCTCTTTCCTAATCACACTTACAAAAACCTCTCAATAATCACACTGGAGATCAACTATTGTGAATGCTCTTAGGAGTTTAAGTAATATTTTTCTATATATAATTATATCCAGTATAATTAATATTAATAATGTTGACTGACATTATAAATTTTTTTCACAATTTTGTCTCCTGACATAATTTTTCTGAGTCCTCCTATGCTATGCTGTGTGACATAGGACATAACACATAATCCATTAATCAACAGAAAGAATTTGTAGTTTTGTACATCAAGTTCATGATGGGCCACAAACGCCAGATTAGGGCACTGAGATATTTTATCAAATTGAAAAAATATCCCCAAAAGCCCAGAGAAGAGATATTTGTTGTAATAACCCAATTAAAAGCTACAGCACCATTATCCATCCAAACTAATCCGCCATGGAAGATCAGATTGTCCCAGAAGCACTAAACGAGTGGCAGCAAATCGACTCGCCATTCTTCATCGCCGATCGCTCAGAATTCCCGCAACTCGACCACGACCAGGGCTCCGGCGTCGGGAATCTAGAGGCGATGGATTCGTTGTCGTCGTTATCGGCGCTGGAAATGTCGTCGTCCGGCGAGGAGGGAGATGAAGCGGAGGAGGAGCGGCGATTGGGGGTGTTCGGATCGGAGTTCATCCGCGCTGCTCGCAACCTCAAAAATCACCTTCTCGATTGCGTAACTGGATTGAAGACGACGAAGAAGAATGGAATCGCGATTCTGATGTCTGTTGCCGCGAGTGGAACGCTGGTTTTGGTATTGGCGTCGTTTTTGTATATGAAGAAGATGAAGAGGAAGGCGCCGCAGCTTGAGAGTAGACACAAATTCACCATTCTCAATGCCATCAAGGAAAAAGATGAGGTACGACTATCATCATTTTCTCCATATAAAATTGAAAAATTCAAAAAAAAAAAAAGTTTCAAATTGCACATATTTTGCTTATTAGATAGTTGGATTGAACGTTTTTTTTTTTTAACTTCAGTGACATATTTAATACTTTTTTCTTATTTATGTGAACTATAACTTACCTGGTAAATTATAAATGATATTTATTTTTGGACGAATTATAAATCATATTTATGTTCTTAAATTTTTGCAGAGAATTAAGCAGCTATTGTTGCAAATCAGTCAGATGAATGAGCTCTTACAAGCAACAAGGAAGGTTCCAGTTATTCGAGTTGGTTAATTAATTGGTTAAATTAATTACCAATCATCCTTGCTTAAAAACATTATAGCTAGTGTAATTAAACATATATACGGAGTCTTTGATTTTGTACATCATATATATTTTTGTTTGAAAGTGTATGTAGTTTAATCGACTTATTTTTGTACAATAAAAATGTATTAATTATATGCATTTGGTTGCACCATTTAGCTCAACAGCATGAGATGTGTCTGTTCTATAATTTCTCAAATCTTTTTTAACTCAAAGAATTAATGTCCATAACACTGGAGTTTGATTTTGCGATCTCCATTTGAAATAGTAAGAGATGTGTCATCACACTACATAGTAATTGACCTAAAAAATATAATATTTTTTTTATTACAATGAAAGGGGATAAAATACCTAACTACTAATCACCTCCACTAAGGATTGAACCTATCACCTCCCACTTAAGGGAGCAAACCAAATACCATTGGACCACAAGGTCCTTGGTTTTCTTTAAAATTTTATTTATCCCACAAGCGATCTAGATAGGCCTCAAAGATACACTAAAATCTATATCTCATTTGACGGTGAATGTGCACTTATATATTTTTCAACTGGAATAAGGATGATTGGATGATAGTATGATACTGAAATGCAAATAGATCTCGTATTTATTCTTTTAAAAGGCTGAACCCCAACCCTAGAGATTTCGTATTTATAGTTTTACTACAAGGTTAATGAAAGCCCCCCGATTTACCTTAAGAGAAGCGGGGGTGGTGAATTAGGCTTTTAATCTTTCAAAATCAGCTCTAAGGTCAAATTATTAATGTAAAGTGTGACACAAGCTTCTCATTAGCAGATTTAATATTTAATTCCTCTCTTTTTATCTTCTAAAACTTCTCCAATTCAAGTATCTAACATTAGCATTTTGCTCATTAGATAGAATCATGTGTGGTATAACTACAGTAGCATCAAAACCTCTGAGGATGGTAAGAAAAGGAAAAAAAAAAAAAAAAAAAAAAAAAAAGATTGTGGATAGGCATCAATTTCACGCCAGATTTTGACTTTGATAGTCTCAATCTCATGGTAATCAAAGCATAAAATTAAAGTTGTAGGTCATTCTCTATAAAATCTTGAATCACTATAATATGATGCCGTATTAGAGATATGACAATTTTTAAAAATTCAAAAAATTATCTTTCGAGTAACAATTTCAAAAGATATTTTGTGACAAAATAAATCATTTTTCCTTTAACCAGAATGTGTATTTCTCATTGGTAGCCAAACGCCGAGAAATCTGAATCGAGTTTCCAAATGGACCCTGAATGAAATTTGGAAGAAGAAAATTGTCTTGGAAATTTAATTCATTATGAGTACTTTGATTACAATGGCAAAAGTAAGAATATGGGAAGATAGAAATTTGAGCAGGTCCTAATATCACATCAAGAACTAAGCAGTCATTATGGACTATGAGAGTTTTGCAATTTGAAGAATACCACAGAATTACATACAGGCAACACATTTTCCAAACTTGAATGGGCTTGTCTACACACAAGTAGTTCTGCACAATTGAATGTTGAACGTTCGGAGAAAGATATATTGCTGGAAACAAAATTCATTATCTGGCGAGTTCTTAGCTCGTTGTAAAGATGCTCCAATGATGCTCTGATGGTAGAATTTCCTTGATCTTTTCAAGTCGTTTCAGAATCTCCAGGAAAGAAGGCCTCTTGTTCATGTCTGCTGCCCAGCACTGCTCAACTAACCTACAAGGTTTCAAGCACAATAGAATGAAGTTTCCATTTTGGTTTCACGAGTAGGATATAAATGTCATTCAAATTTGCACCAAATGTTAGTTAAATTGCACATTTATGTTTATATATATTATATGCTCAACACGCCCCCCACGTGTGGGGGCCGGTTACTTTTGATGGGCCTCAAGCAACACGTGGACCCATAACCTTTGGCATGACTCTGATACCAAATTGAAACATGTGCTCCATCTCAACTAAAAGCCTAAGCTGATAGTTGGATTGCACATTTATGTTTATATATATTATATGCTCAACACGGTGTACACTAAATGGCCATGTGATTTTGTAGTGAAAGTGAGAAAAAGTTAGATTAGTATTTGTGACAGTTGAACTTCCAGTATATATATCTTACTCTTTCAATTCGGGGATAAATCCTTTTGCCCTGAATATAGGTCTCTGTCCTTCGGCTGCATGTTTAGCTGCTTCATACGGTTGATGGCCTGACAATGGTGGATCCCCTTCTAGCATCTGAGACAGTTCATAATTTATTTATGAGATACATATTTTTCATCTGCCTTTCGCATGTATATTGGTATAAAAACAAAAATTACCTCATATAGTATCATTGCGAAGGAGTAAACATCAACCTTTTTGTCATATTTCCGGTGCTTGAAAACTTCAGGGGCCATATATCGATCTTTTTAAACAGATGATAAAAGGAAGACATTAAAAAGTATACCTAACCATGTGAAGAAACATTAACAGGCTTGCATAACATTTATTCCCATTCAAACTCAATGCCTCAAAAAGATCGAGAAAAACTTACAGCTTCCAGTTTCTCCTGTCATTTTATATACATCATGAGAATTTTGAACCCTAATGAGCTTGCTTAATCCAAAGTCTCCAACTTTCAGATGATCTGCACTGGAGTTGACGAGAAGAACATTCCTGAAAGCCCAACCACATTCGAAGACTCAGCTATTCAGATGAGATAATAGTAACTATGACAATTTTATTAATCTTCTAAGAAACAGAGTTCAAAATAAGAGCTGCACTGTCTAACAATCCATTCATACAGTGGAGAGAATCATCAACTTGCCTTGGTTTTAGATCCCTGTGAATTATAACATTTGGCTCATTGTGAAGATAAGCCATGCCTCTGCCAACATAAATTAGCAATAATGATTAGAAAGCTGCAAACTAAAGTTAGATGAATATGGAAATTAGCAGAGTGAAGAAAAATTGAGTTGCAACTACCTAGCAATGTCCATTGCCAAATTGATCGCCATCGATGGGCTGAGTGCACCTTTATCCTTCAGATACTGATGAAGATCACCCTGATACAAGATATCAAGCAAGGCATTCCGCACAGACAATCACAATTCAGCCATAGTAAGAAAACAAGGCTCTTAAACAAGAAACAAAAGTGCAAACCACGTACCCCCCTTAAATATTCAGTAATTAACATCAAGGGCTTTTTGTCAGTAACTGCACCAAGAAATTGCACTATATTTGGATGTCGAAGCTTCACCAACAAATTTACCTCATGCCTGAAATCCTGACTGTATATAAAAGTAAACACTAGGTTTTAGTTTACTTATAACACACTACAGAAATGACATTTTACCAAGTGCAATATTGATAGCCATGGAATTCTGGGTAACACTACAAGAAATTTACTTACAGATCAGCACCTATGCACTAAAAATAAGTCACCCAGAAAGCATATAAAGGACAAAACCAGAGCTTCAAAGCATGACCAAGCCAGCAAGTATTTTATTAAAACTTCCCCTAATAATGAAGTTTATGGTTTTACACTTGGTAGAAGGTTTAAGTACTTAATCAGTCCCAATACTAAGGCAGAATGTTCAATTTAGTCCTTATACTTTTAAATTGGGTCAGAAAGTCAGAAAACAATCTTTTCTGTATGGTTGAAAGTCATAAAAAATAAATAAATAAATAAATAAAATAAAATAAATCTGTTTGGTTCATTTTTAAAATCATGAACACAATTCTATTGCAAAGTTATTTATTATAAAATATTAATTATTTTAATGATTATAATAATTATTATTTATATTAAAATTAAATTATAAATTAAAATTTATAATAGTTATAAAGACTAATAATAATTATAAATAAAATATGTAAATAAATAATTTTTAACTTGGTAACTTATTATAATATAATAAAAATGAATACATAAATTGATAAATATGATAATTATGATTTATGAACTAAAGAAATTGAAGAAAAAAAATTAATTTTTCTTTTGGAATGCAGGTCAGGCCGAACCAAGATTATTATTGTTTGGCTTGACGCCTTGACCTGGCCCGACTTATATTTGACAAGGCATTGATAATAAATGTAATAACTTTGAACTTAAGAAATAAAGAAAAAAACATAAAAGTTTATTTTTTGGGGGTTGCGAGCCATGTCAATATTATTATTATTTGGTTAAGCCCAACTTAATCCATATTTGAATCGGCTATTGATATATGTAATAAGTTTAAACTAAAGAAATTGAAGAAAATAACTTCAATGCTTTAAAATATGATTTTTTGTGTTCCGGACCAAGATTTTTATTGTTTGGTTGAGTTTGACTAGACCCATATTTTAACTAGAATAGCCTAGTCTGGTTCAAATAATAACCAGATAAATGGCGGGTCTACCCGCCCATTTAACACCACTCAGAGGGGGAGAGAGAGAACTGAGCATGGGATAGGTATCTGAAAAATGTCTTCCGAGTATAATCTTGGAAGACATTTTCCGCCAAAATGGGTCATTTTCCATTGACCATAATAAGTATTTTCCGTTGATAGCCAAACAATGGAAAATCCAGAAAATGACTTCCTCCAGGTTTCCAAATGGACCCTTAATATCAACCCAAGTTTAAATCTCCTTAGCTTATTTTGTAGTATATTATGGCCAACATATTATTGGTAATAACTGTGGCAGGCATGTTATCCAACCATGTAACCACATCATCTAACCTATAGCTATGTAGACAGGCTTAACATTTGTAAGTTCTAACTAACAGTGTTTGCAATTTTACTTGTCATATTTTTAATAGTATAGGCCATTGAACAATTTTCATTAGTATAGAGACTAATTAAGTACTTAAACAGTTAAACCTTAGTAAAAATGATCATGAGAGAATTGCAAACACTCCAGAATCTAAAGCTTATCATGTTGCAAGTTGGAAAATTTGCGCCCATAATGAGTTTTAGAGACTTCAGCTAGTTACTTACATCACCAAGCGGTCATCTGAAAGATTCGGAAGGATGCGTTTGATAGCAACAGGTGTTCCACGCCAAGAAGCTTTCACTATCTCACCAAAGGAGCCCTGTTAGTGTAAGTTGCTATTAGTAACAAAAAGTTTTGCAGATATATATCAAACCAACACATGGCTCAAATGTTAAAAAGCAAAATAGCAAGCAGCCTTAGTTAAAAATGGGGATACAACTGAAAGTTATATAGAAGAATAACCACATGAAATCAAAATTCATTAAAGCTAATTGGATGGCACAATGGAACTGAGCTAGTTAACATGACAGTAGAAGTACAGAAACTGAAACATCTATAAACATTTTCTTCACATTTAAATAGCTTATCCATACCTTCCCAATAATAATTGAGTTTGAGAAGTCCAATTCAGTAGGTTCAACTTCCCAGTCACACTTATTTGGCAGAGGTGGTGGAACAGGCCTTGGTTCAAAATGACTTCCATTTTGCCCCTAAAAGTTTACCATCAAAACTTAAGAGTGGTACCAAAAGAAAAAAAGGTGGAAGCACACAAATTTGCATGTTCAGGAGTACATTCATAGATATGTGAGCTCAAATGATAATAAGTGATTAAAAAGAAGGGGACCATAAGAAGCACTACAGAAATCATTTCTGCATAGACCAGTATTATATGCTAAAGATGCCACCATAAAAATCATTCATTATGAAGCTATCTGTCATTTCAATATCCACTTTAAAACTTAAAAAGGAATTAAATCAATGCGATTAACAGATAAATAGTTGAAAATTCATATTGTAGAATAAGCTCATGTCCATTAATAATTGAACCGTGATAACATTAAGTGAAAATTCTAAGAAAGATATTAATGAATAAAGGAACTCACATAAGATAGACCACCATACGACTTCAATAATTCAATCATGTTGTGTTTCTTAGCTCCTTCAGCATCAGCTAGAGGCTGTAATAATGAAAGCCAATCAGATAACCAAGCAGCTAAACATTTCATAAAAGCTAAACACACACTTTAGTATAAAGTTGAGAATAAATGCAGAATCACAAGAGTAACATGCACATTGTATAACACTGATACAGAATAGAGTAATCAATAGCAGACTATTCTTACCCCTCCTCCAAAAAGAACAGAGTATAATATGCTATCTTCTAGGGATTGTGAAAAGACTATAACTTGAAGAGACGATTGTTTGGCCAAGATATGAATTTCACATCGTTTTCAGGACACTAGGGAATAGAATAATCAGCAACTAAAAACTCAACAGTTGAGATTTTACTTCCATTGTAATAATAGAACAATGATTATAGTAGGAACAGAATTACAGTTAAATCAGCATAGTATCTACAGTATAACTTCACTCCAATTTTCTCTTGTAGAAAACTTGAATTTAAAAGTAGAAGTTACTCCAAATTAGCATCATATTTACAGAATTATACCGTATTTTTCCATCGATCTTGCGCGTTGACGTCAGCTCCGTACTCGATCAAGCACTTGGCGACATCGATCCAACCGTGGAGAGCAGCGACATGGAGCGGAGTCCGTTTATCATAATCTATAGCTTGCACCAGCGTCTTATCTTCCTCGAGGAGCTTCCTCACGGCCGACAGGTCGTTCTGGTGGGCGTGCCACAGTATGAGCGACGTGCGGTTCACTCTGGCCTTGTCCTTCTTCTTCTCCGCCGTCGGCGCTTCTCCTCCGCTCCCGGTGGCGGAATGATCTGAGCCGCCTTCGCTTCCACTCATATTTCGGGTCGCGCTCGCACCGGATTCGTCTCTCTGTGGGCTGAGTAGTGCGCGCGTGAGATTAGATTTGCCTTTTGGCACGTTTCTCTTGAACCCAGTTAAAGACTGCTGACTTTTTTTTTTTTTTTTTTTTTGGCAATATTTATCTTTAGCAAATCATTTTACTTCAAATATGGATTTTTTAATTATCAATTTCACTGAATTTATTCCTACTTTTGGGCTGTTTGACGAAAGATAGATCATGCTATACATTTTCAATTAATTAATTTGTGGTCAAGTATGAAAGAGATAATTTAATGGAGTCTGAGTTAATCACTTTAAAGTAAGGATCGAAAAATGAATAAGATAACGAACTTGCTAATTTTGTTATTAATTCCCTTGGAATTATAAGATTATTAAGTGTTAAAATGTGACGGAAAGTTTGTCTAAATAAAACAAGAGATGAACTATTTATACAATGAAACTTTGGAGCAACGTCTCGTGTGAAATGGGGCACCCATATGTGAGGTGGGTGCTTGTAACGACCTTTGGTTGATCCCATGTCTCTCGGGTACATCCTCCGAGCTTAGTCAACCTGACCTCCCAATGTAGCCAACCTCAAGGTCAACCCTCAGTTGCATGCTTCACCTTGTTTCTACACCATGCCTCTTGGCCTAAACACTTTGGTTAAGTTTAATATATCCATCATTAGCCCCCCCCCCCCCCCCCCCCCCCCCTCACACACACTCTCTGAGCTACATCCTACAAGTGAGTATTCGGGTTTGTTTATCCAATTTCTATAAAATTATAGATGACTAATATTTTCAAAATGGTAGTCAATCCCACCATCTAGCTCATTGGATGATGTTGGTTAGGAGCAAGCTCTTATATTTGCGAGAAGATGAACTCACATAGGGGCGTTATACGACGATTGAGGAGTTGTAAGCAACTCCTACCCTAAAGAAAAAGAGAATGAGGATGAAGAAATATCACAAGCCCCTAGTCTAAGTTATCCTAGCCCGGGAATTGGTTTCAAACATAGAGAAAGGATCCAAAGGTGTTGACCATGAGCCCGTAGGGAAATAGGGGCACACCCTCTCTATCCGAGCTTAGCCAAAGTGACGAACATTGTTTGACATGGAAACTAATCTTGTTGACATGGAAACTAGATATAAGGCTACCCAATCTCGACTTTTGTTGCAAGCATAAACATGGGAAGAAAAATTCTACCTCATGCAACCTTGCTACGAACATAATGCCGCACACATAAACATGCATAGTCAATTAACTAACCCTGGAGTTGGAGTGGACACGATTAATGTGAAACCTAGTGATATGGTTATCTATTGACCCTAACAATGGAGTCACCCACACTTAGTTTACCATGAATGGTTTCGTCCACTCACTTCCGCTAGCTCTCATAGTGGACTTAAGCAAATTTGCCTAGTCAGGAGATTGTGATCGTAGGAACTAACTAAGGATATATATATATATATATATATATATATATATATATATATATATATATATATAAAAGGTTAGGCATCACGTCTTTGGACTCAACAAGCTATGACTATGGAATGACCTAGTTCATATCGGGTTTATGACTTTGTAATGCCCGTAAGAAAAGCGTAGCTTTTTCTTGACATTGACCAAGAAGAAACTCTTCTATTTGGCAATAAGTGAGATTGAACCTCGTAACGAAAAAATTTTAAATTCAACATTAGACGAGAGGTCCATTAGGTGAGATCAGACTTAGTAATGCCGCTCGAGAAAGCTTAGAGTCCATTTATTAATGAAACTATCTGTTTCAAGTTTTATTATTATTTTAAATTTTTAATTTTATTATAATTTGTCTTTTAGTTTAAAGATCCAATTTTTTTTTATTTTTTTTGTTGGTTCAGTATGAGAATTAAGAATAGACACTGAAAACATTGAAGCTATATTAAAATCTGTAATTGAAATGGATCCTAAAATGTGTGGTTTTCCTCTATCGATTGATGTAAATACTGTACATTAGCAAAGACAGGCTATTGGGGTATTCTCAGAGAAAGAAGTGAATTAGATGAGCTTCTTCTTCTGGAAATAGGTTTTCAGATGCCAATACTGCATTCCTGCCACAGAGAGGACTACAATAATCGACACGCCACTCAGCCAACCCATGCTCGAGTTGGTAGATCGGTTAAGTTCCTGCATTTCTTCTTCTCTGCAGTACAACAATGCATTAAGGTCAAAGTTCTTAGACAACATGTTCCTTAAAACGAAAGAAACCGGTACATTTAACATACCTTTCACGAAGATATTGCATCTCACTTTGGATGTCGAAAACAGTTAGATACATATTCCTGAGTTGTGATTCCATAGCCTAGTAAAATACCAATCACAAAGTCCACAAATCAATGATATATCCACTAAGCAGAAGATAAAACTATTACCCGGAGAGGATAATGAACCAATACATACCAAAAACAGAAGTAATGGCATTTGAAAAGTGAAACGAAAATGCTTGATGATTAACAAATAACCACATTGAAAAACTCACATTCCTAGCATAAATCAAGGGTTAATTCCACCCGACTATCATTTTTGCCATTTTACATCACAGACTATCATTTATATGTGTGTTATAATATTCAAGAACACAAGTTATATCCACTAGAAGAGGGTTCAAGCAGAAGATAAAACTATTACCCGGAGAGGATAATGAACCAATACATACCAAAAACAGAAGTAATGGCATTTGAAAAGTGAAACAAAAATGCTCCGATGATTAACAAATACCCACCTTGAAAAACTCACATTACTAGCATAAATCAAGGGTTAATTCCACCAGACTATCATTTTTGTCATTTTACAACACAGCATTTATATGTGTGTTATTATATTCAAGAACACAAGTTAGAAACTACCAAGAATGACGATTTCTCGTAAAAGTCAGAGATTGAAATAAGCATAAACCGAGAAGATAAAAGCTTACTTCAACAGAGTCTTTCTTTACAACACTAGCCATATCCTTAGTAAGTACACCAGACTTCCACTCCAATTCAATAGGAAATGTAATCGGGGGACTGTTATCAGCAGCATAGAAGCAAGCCGTGTAGTCCCCGGATTCTGCAGTCTGAAAAGCAAAGGTCCCTTCGGACACATAGGAGGCATAGTGATAACTATTTCCATAGGTAGATGTCACCTAAACCAGAAAAGAAAAAACACCATTCAAGCAAAACTCCATACAGAAAACAATGGATAATAATAATAATCCATCCTAATTGTAAATGTTATAAAGAATCATTTTAAAGACAATGCTGTTATATCCATGAGAAGCTCTCCACATATTTGTGCTATCATACATTCATACATTAACTGTTTGTTAATATGCCATTTTAGAAATGATACTAAAACATACACATCAACTGTTTGTTAATATGCCATTTTAGAAATGATACTAAAACATACACAAATTTATGAAAAACTAATAATCAAGAAAGCCCATAATCCAAAAGACTCTTTTTTTTTTAGGGAATTATTAAAAAAAATAAATTACCGACCTGAATGATGAAAGTGTGAGTGTCGGGTAAAGGGTGGCCTTCGTGGGGGTTGATTGCGTGGTACTTGCCGACGGTCATGGCGCCGCCCTTAATATCTTCAGATATGCATTTGGTACTGCCGGATTCAACATTGAAACGGAAGGAGTGAATCTGGGTCGAGAAGATGGCCAAGATGAGAAGGAGATAGAGGGCATAACCTTCCGGACCCATTTCGGATTTTATTCTTCTTAATAATTATTAATTTTTTTTTTTATTTTTTTTTTGGATTTCTCTCCCTCTCTTCTGCTAGAAATCTCTAGGAGAAGAGAAACAGGGAGGGATGGTGATGAAGACGATGGCCGGCGGTGTTATGAGGATTCTATTATTGAAATTTCTACTGGGTAAAGTCGAAGAGAGAACGAGGACTATAATAACAGGGCCGACTAACCGTCATCCTCAAAAACGGCCATTTTTTTCGAATTTCTTGTGGTCTGCTTTTACTTTCTTTTTTTCCCGCAAATTATTCTGTGAACCCGGCAATTATTTTCTTCTATCAATCTCTTTTAGCAATATATAGAAGATTAATTTAAGAAGATATTAAAAATATAAAGAAATTTCACGTTCCGTCAAATTATTTTACAAAATTTGAAATACAATAATTCATTTTTTTGTAAATATTCATTAAAAAATGTGCACTACATAAAAATATAAACTTTAAGTAAATTAAATATTATTTTAATTATCAGGATTATGTGATCTAATGGTACCCGGGTTGGATTTTCATTTAGAAGGTTGTGAGTTTAAGCCTCAGTGGAGGCGTTATTGGCTCTTTGTGGGTATATATATTACATTGTAATAGAGCTAGTAGCATTCAAAAAAATATTATTTTAATTACAAAATAATTTATTTTTAATTTATATTATTACCAAAGTTAATAATAATAATAATACATTAAAATTCTGACACCAAAATTGCAACACATTAGATTATATAAAAAATAAAAAGTCACATCGGATTGCGAGCCTCCAACTTTCAAGGCTACAAATAACTCGGAGCAATTACATTGGTTGTAAATTTTCATTAGGTTTTTATAACTTTACTATGAAGAGACGACTGAAAATGAAAAAAAGTGAAATTTTTTAAATTGGGGTGGTCACCAGTTGGCTACCACCCCACTCACAGTGCACGCAACGTATAGTCGTGTACCAAGATTATTTTTCAAATTTTCGGATTTTGAAAAAAAAAAAAAAAAACTCGAAATTAACGGAGTTGGTAGGTAATATCCCCTAAGCGTACAACTGTATATCTACTTGGGATACTCCGTGTACGCCTTTAATTAGGAACATTTCCCGAGTTTAACCAACTTTATTTGGGATTGACCGAACCCAAGGTATAATTGTGTCCATTAAGATTATTGGCCAAGTCATGGCGCCCACTCTGTTCGGTCCCGACCTTAGTGCTCGGGTCAGATCCTCCAACACTAGAGGACAAAATCCCTCTACCGATTGGTCAGCCCGATCCCGTCGAAAATGGCCTTGTTAGGAATCAACGTCCACACGTACCTATTAGAAGAGTCGTCAACTACACTAATGTATGTGAGACGCGTGGTAAACGTGTCGGATGGCCGACATGTGCTCCATCTTCACCCTATAAATAGGGCATTAAATGCACTTTTGAAACAATAATCTAACCCCATATCAGCTCGGGAGCGTCTGACCTACTGCCATAATTACCTAAGCTCAGACACTACAAGACATATATGTATTTGTAGATCCCGATGTATTTACTACAAAACTCCATGAAACACTCAAAATTTGGAACTAATGGTGTTACTATACATATATTGATAGTTTTAAATGGACTAGGTTCACCATAAACCAGGGATAATATCAAGAAATTGGGTTGAAAATCTTTAGCCAATGAAAATAACAAATGGAGAAGTCAAGTGGGAGTCTTGGTTACGGATGAGAGGTCATGATCTCGAGAAGAGACAATATGCCTTTTTTTTATACTCCGTACTATAGCTGGATCAAAGACTATGGAGACCACCAATATACTAAGGAGCCTAGCAAACCACAATTTTAGGCATAAACCTAATTTGCTTACCAGGATCCCTTAATGGGATTTTCCAACAATGATATGAGGGGCATATTGAACATATAACATCGTCTACAAATATTATGTATGAGTCTAAGTTATATCACTGGTTTTTATCCATATTTTTAAAGTTAATATGATTGTACATTAAATTTAAAATATTATACATCACATTGTACAGTATATGACAAGTGATTTGTCATATATTAAAAGTAGTAATTCCCATTTGGATTGTCCAATATTGAAATATCACAATCTTATATAATTACTAGCTAGTTATGAATTAACCAACTTATTACATATTTATTTAATGAAACTATTTAATATTGTGTAATATTTAATACAGTATAAATAATTAGATATCGATCTTTCATTCCCTCATAAAATATAAATTTGGAAATGTCCTAATAAACATCATTTCCAAAAACATTAAACAAACATGACCTTATGTTATCAAGTGAATGAATGGTTCATTTATCATTATCAATAAACACAAAATGTGAAATGTTGGGATATATCCTAACCAAAAGTGAATAATTGAAGTGGACAAAAAAACAATAATAACATCAGATAATTGAATCACGATAATTTCAATGAAATGGTCAGGCAAACTATACTTATTCCAACATCTTACATTATAGTTTGTTTTAATCTCACTTGCATGTGTAGCTCAGTTGGTCATAGAGTTGAAGTTTAGAAAGAATAATAAGGGATCGAGCTGAAGAGTCTTACCAACAGCAGTGTGAGAGGGGGCTCCTTGTGTGCAGTAAGCCTATGTGGTTCAACTGAGTTACCATGATTTATATCCTCCCAAATGCTTTGTCGGTCTGAGGTTTGAGTTTTTTTTTTTTTTGTTTTTTTTTGTTTTTAGATTTCAAATATTGATTATATATACAATTTTGTTGTAACTCATTTTTATTATATCTGATCCGTCTCACGGATTGAGACTCATGAAACAATCTTATAAGAGATCAATCAAAAATTTATATTTAAACATTTAATGTGACAAAATTGAAAATATATAATTTAATTAGTGCATTAAATATATTTTTCTACACCATTGTGTATTTAGTAAACATGAATAACTTCTCCTAAATATGATTGTAAAGGTAAAATTTATCACAAGAGACCAATGATTGAGTTTTACCAATGACAGTGTGTGCCTCAATTAAGCAATTCCACTCTTTGTTTTTTGTTTGTCACAATAAATGATATAAGCAATAATTAATTTGCCAGAGCTAAGCTGACAAGTGCTTTAGTTTGTACACAACATCACATGTTTTTGTCAAGGATTAAACAATAATATCATTCACAAAAGTAAAACCAATAACTCTAATAACATTTTTTCTTTTATTTTTTAAATACATCAAAAGTTAGGCGGAGAGGCAGTGTCAAGAATTTAATGTTTGTTTGCCACATTGACTATGGGTAGGAGTTAATGGGTGTATTTGTACTATTAACATATGTTTAGGGATATTTGTTAAAAAAGTGATATTGATAACTTTTCATCAATTTTATTTTTCTTCTTTTTTCAAAATGTTAAATTTCTAACTCTATGGTCCCCACACCCCAGTCCAACAGAATATTTAAGATGATATAAATCACAATGACTCAATGACTCAATAGACAATGCAAAATGCTAGTGCACACAATAAATATACTTATTTTGAACATAATCCTCATATTACCGTCGCCGAGATTTGAACCTTAATTTTAATTTTCTAATCAAGTAAATAAACTTGTTAAAATGAATGTTGGTAAATAATAAACTAGTTTAGGGAATAGCCTTCAATCGGCATTAAAATTAACATTTCAAAATATTCATTTGTGAGTTGATTTTTTTTTTAATCAAATAAAAGAGTCATAGAAAAATTTATTATGATCTTCAATAATGAGGCAACATAATAAAATTATTTAATATATAAATTTTTTGAACACTACTGACTCTATTACAAAATACTATATGTTCTATACTTTCTCTATCTATTGCAGTTCAATTGTCCAAAAAGTCAATTCTTCATCTTCCCTAATCACAGAGATGCTGAGCACAAAATGTTTGACATTTAATATATAAATTTAATATTTTTGTTAAAACAATTTTATTTATTTAGGGAGGAAATGCATGCAAGCCATGATTAGCTAATTTACTCTAATATTTGTACACGTTTATTGAGACAATAAACTTATATTTAGAATAGCTACATTAATTATCAACTAATGATAACCAATTACTTTAATTTACTAAACACATTTTTACAAACAATTAATAAAAACAACTTAATCCATTGTCATCTATTAATTACTCTATAAAAAATAATTCACTATCTAGTAATAAGCTCTACTAAACAGAATCAGCATGTATTACATTATTACATTATGTAGTTTTATTATCACTAATTAATATAAAAAATATGAATAGAATAATAATTTTTTACGAAAAAATACACGTACAAATGTACAATATAGAAATAAAACATATGCCCATATTAGTTTTTTTTTTTTTTTTTTTTTTTTTTTTTTTTTTGTTTAAGCAAGTTAGCTAAGATCACAAGATAGTGTTTATCCAATATACATTCTCAGATTGACAAAAATTTTCTTCAGCATAAAAAAATATAAGCATATAGAAAGTAGGTTCATTTATATATTATTATTATTATTATTACTCCATATTATAATTTTATATGAAATAAAAAGGATTGTAGTAACAATTTGTAAAAAATTTTGTCTGTTCTTCCAAATCTGAGAATTCTGGGATCTCTCTCATAAATTACAGAGGACCATAAACCAAACGCCATCGTGTTTTTATCCTTCTTCGGAAGAGACTTTCTGAGAATAATCAGACACAAAATTCATACGAGATTTGACTCTTGTCTGATTACTCCATTAACATTTGCCTCAAAACGTTTTATTTATTTATTTATTGTTTGATTTGATTATTGTTTTCCGCTTCGCATTCGTCGCTGCCTCATTGTCCATGAATTCTCCAAACTTTGGAGGTTAAATAAATTCATCACGTTTTTGCTCAATCTAGTGCTTTGATTCGGCAATGCAGTTTGAGTTTTGATGTTTTTATGCGGTAGCGATGCATGGTTTTGATGGGCGATGAGGAATGAGGGGGGAGTGAAATGGAGTTGGGCAGATCGGAGGGCGTGTCGGTGGTGGTGAGGGGCGATAAAGTGCAGTCCTTGCAAGGAGGAGGAGGAGGGCAGGTGATCCAGCGGACCAGGTTGCAGGTGTGGTTTATTAGGGTTTGTTCCAGCATTCTGATATGGACCTGTTTGGTTCAGCTCGTTGCAGTGGCCGAGCTCTGGCATCCGCGCTTGCTCACCGGCGTTGCTCTCGTCG